GATTGTTCTTATTCTCCTCAATTAACACTGAAAAATAAGCAGTTCCAGTTTGTCGAATCTTATTTTTATAGAGCACAAGACTATTTTTCCAGGATAGGTAGGCCTCCTCATGGTGCGTAGAGCGCCATGTTCTCTCCAATTTCCTAGAGTTTTCTTTTAAAGCTCGTAAATGAGAATTAAACCAGGGAGCCAACTTCCTGTCCCTAATTAACTTCTTTTTTAAAGGGGCAACATCATCTAATGCCACACTTAAAGAGGAAGTAACATTATGAACTAAGGCATCAATTTGTGAGGGGCTAGAAATGAAAATATTGCCCTCTGCTAAGTTCCTCTGAGATGCAGAGGACAGTAAAGATGGAACAGTTGATTTAAAAGATGCAACTGCGTTGTCAGATAGAGACCGACTATAGTGAGATTTACTTTCATGTCTTGAGAACTCAGTTATAAAAAACTCAAAGGTTATCAGAAAGTGGTCCGAGAGGACTGGATTATGTGGAAAGATCTTTATTTCCTCACACTCTATGCTATAAGTCAGCACAAGGTCCAATGTATGATGGCAGGAGTGGGTGGAGCTATGTATTCTTTGAGTAAAACCAATTGAGTCTAAGATATTACTAAAGGCTACATTGAGGCTATCATTTTCACTGTCCACATGAATGTTAAAATCCCCCACTACAATGACCTTATCAGTATTTAGCACCGAATCAGATAAAAAAAATCAGAGATCTGATCCAAAAACTCAGAGTAAGGGCCTGTTGGATGATATAAAACTACAAACAGGAGTGGTTTTACAGTTTTGCAATCTGGATTAGGAAAACAAAGAATAAGATGTTCAAACGAACTGTAGCTATTAATTGGTAAGGGGTTGATTAATAAGTCCGAATGATATAAATGATAAATGACCTGCACTTGTATAGCGCCTCTCAGAGTAAGGACTCCAAAGCGCTTTACACTACAGTGTATCATTCATCCATTAGAGTGCTGTTATGGCTGCTCTCGTGGTCTGCCTGTATCTGTTCTGTCTATATGTGTGTGTGTAACCTTGGTCAGGCTGTTCTGTGGAGTCAAGTTCCTATGATTTGGTTCGCTGGAGCGCTGGCAATAAAATTCTCTCTGATTCTCTTATTCTGATTCTGATCCATTCACACACACATTCATACACTGGTGGGGATGAGAGGCGAGGCTGCCGAGCACAGGTGCCACCGGACCCTCCGACCACCACCAGCAGGCAAGGTGGGTTAAGTGTCTTGCCCAAGGACACAACAGCAGAATTCTCTGTCCAGAGCCGGGATCGAACCTGCAAACTTCCGATTACTGGACAACCCGCTCAACCTGTTGAGCTGTACTTCGAGCAATATGATTATTTAAATAATTAAAAGGAGTCGACTCGTTTAAACTAACATAGTCCTCTTGCTGCAGCCAGGATTCTGTGAGAGAGCAAAGAAATCTGACTATCACAAATCAAGTCATTAACTAACAAAGTCTTAGGAAAAATAGATCTAATGTTCAATAACCCACATTTAATTTTTCTAGTTTTCTGCTCAGTTGAATTTGTTCTAATATTTGAGATTTCCATGATTTGCTTTATTAAGCCTAATATTTAATCTGTGTGATTTTGGCCGTGGGCAGGACACTGTTTCTATGGGGTAGTGGGTGGGTAACAGTACTGAAGCTGCAGAGGGGTGGGTTAAACTACGACTCTGCTTCCTGGTCTGGACCCTGGGTAGTCATGGAGGACTAATAAAACTGGCCATGTTCCTAGAAAGAAGAGCTGATCCATCCAAAGAGGGATGGATGCCGTCTCTCCGCATCAGACCAGGTTTTCCCCAAAACGTTTTCCAATTATTAATGTAGCCCACGTTGTTTTCAGGACACCACCTAGACAGCCAGCGGTTGAAGGACAGCATGCGGCTAAACATGTCGTCACTGGTCCGATCAGGCAGGGGGCCAGAGAAAATTACAGAGTCCGACATTGTTTTGGCAAACTTACACACCGAAGCAACATTAATTTTAGTGACCTCCGATTGGCGTAACCGACTGTCGTTACCGCCAGCGTGAATAACAATCTTACTGTATTTACGCTTATCCTTAGCCAGCAGTTTCAGATAAGATTTAATGTCGCCCGCTCTGGCCCCAGGTAAACATTTAACTATGGTTGCTGGAGTCTCTAATGCCACGTTTCTGACTATGGAGCTGCCAATGATCAGAGTCGGCTTGTCAGTGGGTGCGTCACTGAGAGGGGAAAATCTGTTAGAAATGTGGACGGGTTGGTGGTGGCCCACGGGCTGGGTTCTATGCTTCCTGCGTACCGTCACCCAGCTGGCCTGAGGTCCCGGCTGCTCGGGTTCTGCTGGAGAATCGCTACGGGATGGTTCTGAGCTAGTTAGCCACGCGCTAGCTAAGTAGCTAAGGCTATCTACGGGCTTTTCAACAGCGCAGAGCCGGGCCTCCAAATCCGACACCTTCACCTCCAAAGCTACAGAAATGCTACATGTATTACATGTACCATTATCACTAAAGGAGGCAGAGGAGTAACTAAACATCTGATACAGAGAGCAAGAGATAGGAGAAGGAGAAGCAGAGACAGAAGTAGCCATAGCCGTGCTGAAGCTAAGCTAACTGGATGAGCAAACTGTTCAACACCAAATAAACTGCGTGCAAACTCAAATGGATCCCTAAAAGCTAGGTGGAACAACAGAAAATGTGTGTTTTAGCGTGCTTATGTGCTACAATAACTCAGAGATATCCTAGTACAGAGAAATTAAATCAGTTTTAGCAAGCCACAAACACCAAACAGCTACACATAGTGCAACACTGAAAACAGGAAACACCTTACCGCATCAACTGATGCCACACACTGTGGAACCATCCTTTCACCTACGTGATGGCATACATAGATCCTGCGTGATGAACTGAAGATTTCAAATTTGGATTCATCAGTCCATAATACCTTCTTCCAGTCTTCAGTAGTCCAGCGGCTAGAGGTGCTGAAAAAAATCGATTTAAGTCTGAATCGGGATTCTTCTTCATAAAGATTCAGAATCGATTCCAAGAACTTAAATATTTGGCACGTTACAGGTTTGAGATGCACTTTTTTGATCTTTGTTAGGAGAGTCAGTACCCTGTTTACTTTTGTGGTCCCATAAATTGAGATGATTTATGTTTGAATCTGCTAAGAGGGCACTTGAATGTATTTTTTTCCATACTCAGAAATTTGAGATATTCTCATATTTATTTTCTAAGTTGATAAATGAGTACTCAGGATTACTCATGTAACTTGTTTCTACACAGACTTGAAAAGTATTTGACTGTATTACTTTCAAAACTACTGTTAGGTAACCACAGATTTGTTATATTTTACAAGGTAAGCAAACAAAAACTTTGCCTTTTGGTCAAAAGATTGCTTCTGTTTACAGTTTTAGAATCACTTTATTTTACATTGTAAATTAGCAGTTTTGGAGCATGACCAGTTTAAAGTCAAATACAAATGTCCCATAGCTTTAACTAACATGTACAACAAAGTAGTTAATCCTGGAGCTGACACTCTTTGTTAATAATGATTGTGAATCGATTCTGAATCGAATGGGCACCCCAAGAATCGGAATCGAATCAAATCATGAGTTGCTCTAAGATTCACATCCCTACCAGCAGCAGTGTTTCATAGCCAGGCAAGCCTCTTTCTGTTATTCTGACACCCTAGCAATGGCTTCATTGCTGCAACTCATCCTGTAAAAGCTACAGCTCCAAGTCTTCTCTTCACAGTTGAAACTGAGATTCGCTTACTACGACCACTATTAAGCTGTGCTTAAAAGCACTGTGCTTTGATGCAGACAGAGGAGGTTGTAAGTAATCCAGAAAAGTTGGAACACCTGTGGGAATTAGGAGCACCAGCTTTCAAGGCTTGATCAACCTCCATTGCTGCAGAACTGCCATGTTCCCTGAAAAAGGCATTTTTGTATAATTCTGAAATGTATATTATTTTTCAGTTCTGAGTAACCTTACTTTTTTAACCTCTGGCAGTTCACCACTTAACTTTGTACCATTTCAAGCTATTCATTGGACTTGAATGATTAGACTGCAATAAATACATGGAAAAATTGGGGCATTCTAAACCTTTTGACCGGTAGTGTGTGTGTGTGTGTGTGTGTGTGTGTGTGTGTGTGTGTGTGTGTGTGTGTGTGTGTGTGTGTGTGTGTGTGTGTGTGTGTGTGTGTGTGTGTATATATATATATATATATATGTTATCGTCCTTCATCCTTGTCTTTCAAACTCGGGTCCTCTACCAGAGGCCTGGGAGCTTGAGGGTTCAGCAATATCTTAGCTGTTCCTAGAGCTGCTGTTTTCTCGACTGAGATGTCTGAAGTTTCTCCTAGGATCTGCTTTAGCCACTCCTCCAGTTTGGGGGTCACTGTCCCGAGTGCCCCAATGACCACGGAACCACCAATGTCTTCACTCTCCAGGCTTTCTCAAGTTCTTCTTTGAGGCCCTATAGTACTTCTCTAGTTTCTTGTGTTTTTTTTTTTCCTGATGTTGCATCACTTGGTATCGCCCTTCCAGCACTGTTCAGTCTCCAGCCTTGGTGGGTCTATTCTGCGGTTATTACCCTGCCACTGAGAGTACACTTTAGCTGGTTGGTTTGCAAAGAGCTTGTTTATTTGTCTGGCTTCACTTTCACCCGTGTATGTTTTTAGGCGGCTGGTCAAGGCTTGGAACCTTTGTCTGGTAGTTTCTAGTGTTTGAGGTATATGCTTCTGGCTGTAGCTCTTGGCTACTGTTGAAATTGTGTTTAAGGCCAGCTACATGACCTTGGTGAGGGTGCATAATGTAGTGGTGCTGAATGACATCCAATCAAAGCACAGCCTGAACAAAAAAAAAACACAAGAACTTTGGTACCGCAACATGCTGCAGTGTATAAAACCACAAATAAATGGTTAAACTGAGAGGTGAGTTGTGGTCTAACCAGCAGTGTAAAGACAATGAACTGTTGCATGTTTCACCAGATCCCTGATCCCAGCGGCTGAAGGAACAGATTGTGACTTTGAAGAAGTTCAGCACAAACCCTGCAGCCTAGGACTGTGCCCACCTTTGTGTGTACATAATGACCAGGAGCTCGGAGTGGGAGACACCTGGCTACAGGGAGAGTGCCAACAATGGTGAGAGAAATCACGACACACTAGGATGATGAAATGGGATTAAACATTACATACTTTCTTTTGCATCCCAGCACATGTACCCCGGAGGGAGTTTACTGTCAAGTCGTGGACTGCAGAGGTTGGTCAGCTGTTCATTCTGGACCAAATGTGATCGAACAACAAATCTTTCTGATAAATTTTTTGACGACAAAATGCTCGTTGTTTTCAGTGGATGGTGGATGGACCCCGTGGTCAGTGTGGTCGGACTGCTCAGTGACTTGTAGTCAGGGTGCACAAGTTCGAACCCGTGCCTGCATTAACCCTCCACCAAGAAACAATGGGTCTGACTGCAGTGGAGCAGAGAGAGAGAGCCAGCACTGCCAGACTCCTCCCTGTCTGGGTTTGTGTTCATCACATTTTGATCTAACTCATCTACTTCCTGTAAAATGCAGTTGACGTTTGCTCTACCTGATGCTTCTTGTGTTCAGATGACCTTTGCCCCTGGTCGCCATGGTCACCATGCTCCCAGAACTGTGGTGCAGGATATGTGTCACGCCACAGGGTGTGTGTGTGTGAAGATGGAGGAGATACTGCATGCCCTCCCGAGGTGGAGGCTGAGAGGAGCAGTGAGGAGACCCAGCTGTGCTACAAACAGCCCTGTCCAAGTACGACACTTCAGAAATACATAAA